AAATTTCGTTCGAAACAAAATGAACTGTTACACAATATCTGTCCATCTGCATAGCAACGAATGCTGGGTAATCTTTTTGATGAAGAACAGACTCGAAGACGCAGAAACGTGGTTCTACAGAAGGATGGTAAGGATACCATGGACCGAAAATTTGAGCAGTGAGCGAGAGGATGCAAAGAGGAAACTTATACTTAACTTCAGGAAAAGGCATCTGAAATTTCTGGGACACGTAATGAGAAAAGAAGGCTTGGAAAATCTAATACTCACAGGATAGAGGGAAAGTGTGATTGCGGAAAGCAACGCGTGTCATACTTAAGAAAGTGGATGCTTGAGAAAGTGGATGACAGAACAGCGTCTCGGAGAAATAACATAAAGGCAAAACTTAAGAGCTACAAGGAACAGGAAGATGTGGAGGGTAATGATCGCCTACGTCTTGAAGATAAAAGAAAGAAGTGGGTGGCAGAACAGAGAGTAGAGGGGTAATAAAATTTACAAACATTGCTACATGGAATCATTTTTTTTTTAATGATTTCTTTTTTACTGATTATCACCTTTTTGATAGGTTATTTAAAGCCAGAAATATTTTTGGATTTTAAGACTTATTTTTTTTTTAAGAGAAAACAGATTTACTGATACAAATCCTACTAATTAACCTATAGCTGGGGGGACACTCCCTAGGTTATTTTTGCTTAGTTTTCTTTTGTTGCGCTTAACTTTAATCTGTTATGTGAGTGTTAAAATTTCTAAACCTTCTTTCCTCATTTCCGCAAGACAGTTCGATTGTCTTTTTTTTCTGTTCTGTCATTTTAACTTTTCTCACCTTCCACCCATTTCCCCCCTCTTACTTTCCCCATTAGCTTCTCACGCTTTACTCCCCTCCTTCCGCCTATATTTTCTGTCTACTTCCTCCCTCTCTGACTATTTATTTCCCTCCTTCCTCTATTGATTTCCTTCCCTCTATTCTTCTCCCTTTCCCTCCATCTATTTTACTCCTTTCCTTCCTTTATCCGTTGCCCTTCCTCTTCCTTTTTCACTCCTCTCACCGTCACCATTAGCTTCTCACTCCGTGCTTCCCGAGTTCCTCCTATCTTTGCGTACTTCTTCTATCTTTCTTTTTTTTTTCCTGTTTCCTCGCCTATACACTTTCCCCCCTTTGTTCTTATTCTTTTACCTCCATATCTCCTCCTACCATTCCTCCTCCCCTTCCTTCTCCCCGTTCTCCCTCTTTATTATCTCCTCTTCCCTTACCTTCATCCTTCCCTTCTTTTTCCTCGTTCTCCCTCTTTACAATCTCTTCTCCCCTTAACTTCCTCCTTCCTTACGTTCTCCCTCCATTAACTTCTTCTCCCCTCATGCCTTTCTCCTCCCCTTCCTTCTCCCCGTTCTCCCTCTTTATTATCTCCTCTTCCCTTACCTTTATCCTTCCCTTCTTTTTCCTCGTTCTCCCTCTTTACTATCTCTTCTCCCCTTACCTTCCTCCTTCCTTACGTTCTCCCTCCATTAACTTCTTCTCCCCTCCTTGCCTTTCTCCTCCCCTTCCTTCTCCCCGTTCTCTTTATTATCCCTCTTTTACCTTTATCCTTCCTCTTCTCCCTTTACCTTTATCCTTCCCCTTCCTTACGTTTTCCCTCCATCGTTCTCTCCCCTCTTTCCTATCTCTTCTCCCCTTCTATCTCTTCACCCTCCTTCCTTTATCCTTGCCTTCTCCCCTCCTTTACTATCTCTTCTTCTACCTTCCCCTTCCTTACGTTCTCCCTCCATTATCTTCTTCTCCCCCCTTCCTTTCTCCCCCGTTCTCTCCTCTTTATTCTTCACCTTTTCCTCTTCCCTTTCATCCTTCCCTTCTTTTTCCTCGTTCTCCCTCTTTACTATCTCTTCTCCCCTTACCTTCCTCCTTCCTTACGTTCTCCCTCCATTAACTTCTTCTCCCCTCCTTGCCTTTCTCCTCCCCTTCCTTCTCCCCGTTCTCCCTCTTTATTATCTCCTTCCCTTACCTTCCTTCCTTCTTCATCCTTCCATTCTTTTCCCCTCGTCCTTCCTTCGTTCTCCCTCCTATCTTCTTCTCCCCTCTTGCCTTCTCCTCCCTTCCTTCTCTCCGTTCTCCCTTTCCATCTCCTCTTCTTACCTTCATCCTTCCTTTTTTTTTCCTCGTTCCCCCCTTTCTATCTCTTCCCTTCCTTCTCCTTCCGTTCTTCTCCCTCCCCTTTGCCTTTCTCCTCCTCCTTCTCCCTTCTCCCCCTTCATCCTTCCCTTCATCCTTCCATTCTTTTCCTCGTTCTCCCTCTTTACTATCTCTTCTCCCCTTACCTTCCTCCTTCCTTACGTTCTCCCTCCATTAACTTCTTCTCCCCTCCTTGCCTTTCTCCTCCCCTTCCTTCTCTCCGTTCTCCCTCTTTATTATCTCCTCTTCCCTTACCTTCATCCTTCCCTTCCTTCTCCCTCTTTTTCTTCTCGTTACCTTCCTCCTTTTACGTTCTCCTCCATCTCTTCTCCCCTTACCTTTTCCTCCTCCTTCCTTCTCCCCGTTCTCCCTCCATTATCTCCTCTTCCCTTACCTTTATCCTTCCCTTCTTTTTCCTCGTTCTTCTCCTCTCTTCTCCCCTTACCTTCTTCCTTCCCCGTTCTCCCCCATTTTCTTCTCCCCTCTTCCCTCCTACCTTTCTCCCCTTCTCCTCTTTATTATTTTTCCTACCTTTATCCTTCCTTCTTTTTTCTATCCCCTCTTTACTATTCTCTCCCTTACCTTCCTCCTTCCTTACGTTCTCCCTCCATTAACTTCTTCTCCCCTCATGCCTTTCTCCTCCCCTTCCTTCTCTCCGTTCTCCCCTTTATTATCTCCCTTCCCCCTTCATCCTTCCCTTTTTTTTTCCTCGTTCTCCCTCTTTTATTACCTTCCTCCTTCCTTACGTTCTCCCCTCCATTCCTTCTTCCTCCTCCCTATCCTTTCCCCGTTCTCCCTCTTTATTATCTGTTTCTCCCTTACCTTCATCCTTCCTTTTTTTCCTCGTTCTCC